CTTACCCACTCCACAAAACACCCCAAACAAATCTATTATTACACCAGACTGTCCATGTGAACGTCTGTGTCCATAGAATAATGTTTGAAATAAAACTAACCTTGCATCACATGAATCGTCGCATGTTGAGGGACTATTTTCTCATATAGGCAGGTAATGATGTTTGGCAATCACAAGATTAATACAGAGTTACCAGTTCTGATTGAAGGTGTCCAAATAGAAAATGTAAATGAAAATAAATTCCTGGGAGTTATAATAGACAGTGAATTATCATGGAAAGCCCACATTAGACATATAAAAACTAACATTTCCAAAACTCTTGCTATAATAAACAAAGTGAAATATTACCTTGATCAAAATGCCCTTCGTACATTCTACTGTTCATTGGTTGTCTTTTATTTCACAGACTGTGTTGAAGTGTGGGGGGACACTTACCAATGTTCACTTCATCCATTGATTGTATTACAGAAACGAGCTCTGTGAATCATCCACAAAGTTGGTTTCTTAGAACACACCCATCATCTTTTTATCCAATCCAAGCTCCTCAGGATTCCTCAACTTGTACAATATTATACACTGGTCATTTTATTCAGAGCTTGCAATAATTTACTACCACGTAATATTCAAAGTTTGTTCAAAATGAGAGAGAGAACTTATAAATTTTAGAGGATAACGTACGGACTACCTGTAAAAGTTTCTGTGTGTCTGTATGTGGCGTAAAACTCTGGATACACGTCTCCAGCAACGCCAAAATGTCCATAAATTCAAGTTGTTATATAAACATATGGTCTGGTCAGAGTAAATGGAGAGTGGGTCATAATATTAGAACAATACTTTCTCTGTGCGCAGGTTTATGTTTGTTGTTTTCTTACCATTGTCTGTATCCTTAACTTTACCTTTGTTGGTACATTTATGTTACACTACCGAGCTATAACAGTGACTCTTTGTCTGCACTTGTAAATAGTTCATACAATTTAATTCAAAATGTCTGAAAAATGTAAAAGATAACTCATTGTGTTAGATTGTGAAGAGTAGTGGTGGGATTAAATAAGTTTTCTTCTATCTATGTATGTATGTATATGTGTGTGTGTGTGTGTGTGTGCGTGTGTACATGTGTGTATATATTGTGTATATGTATATATATATATTATATATATATATATATATATATATATATAATATATATATATATATATATATATATATATATATATATATATATATATATATATATATATATATATATATATATGTATATATATGGATATGTGCCTATATGTATAATAGGTGCATGGATTTAAATGTGTATATGTGTTGCATGTGTATATGTGTGCTGTGTATATATGTGTGCATGTGTATATATGTGTGCATGTGTATATATGTGTGTGCGCATGCATGTGTGTATGTGGGTGGGTGCGTGCATGTATGCATCCACACACGTATATAAATAAGGGGTATTGTTATGAACATAAGGTAAATGAATATAGAGCATGTATGTATGTATATATGTATGTGTAGGTGTGTATGTATATATATGTATATATATATATATGTATATATATATATATATATATATATATATATATATATATATATATATATATGTGTATATATATTATGTATAGATATATGGATGTGCTTATACTCGTATAAATATAAATAGCTAAATGGACACTTAACATCTCTAATGAAATGAATAAATATATATTAAATAAATAAGTTTTCTTTTTCCCACTCCTTTTTGGGAAAAGTAATAATAATAATATATATTTTTTTTGTTATTTTCATTTCTATTATGATTTCACTAATGTTATATGTTCCATTGTATATGCATGTAAATCTTTACTTGCCCAAAATAAATGCATAAACAAATATTATCAGTCCACCGCTGTCAAGTTTTCTGTCAGTTAGTACAACTCGCTGCTGCTGCTCAAACATAAATCCTTCAAATGCAAGGTTAGTTTTATTTTAAACATTATTCTATGGACACAGACGTTCACATGGACAGTCTGGTGTAATAATAGATTTGTTTGGGGTGTTTTGTGGAGTGGGTAAGACTGTTTTTAGTGGCAGGATAAACTATGACCATTGACATGCACTAGTCCAACACCAGTGACCTCTGCAAATACAAGGACTGGATGGAAGATTTCAAAAAGTGTCTCCACACGTCTCCAACACTCTGGATCACTAGAAAATGAGCTCCTATATCCAAAATTCTGGACTGTCCCTTTAACTAGAGTTGTACAACCTTTAGTTCAGTGGAGAATGAACATTTTGAGTGAACAAACACAACTCCAGGTATGTTCTGCATATCCATAAATCCTGGTCTAGTTCTTGTCTGGTTCAGGTTTAGTTCTGTCATAGTCCTGGTCTCTTCTATATTGTGTCTTTTGTTGTTGATCTGATGAATATTAAGATTTATTTCGGTGATTCCAGGCTGTTTTTTAAATTCTGTCTTAGTCCTCGTCTTTAGTCCTCATCTAGTCCTGGTTTAGTCACGTCTAATCTTGCTTTAATCCTGGTCTAGTCCTGGTCTAGTCCTGGTCTAGTCCTGGTCTAGTCCTGGTCTAGTCCCGGCTCTTGTATATTGCTCTTTTGTTGTTGATCTGATGAATATTCATAGGTTTTCCACATTATTCCGATGATCCAGTTTGTCCTGAGGGAACAGAAGGCGGCTGTCCTCATTCTGTCGGAGCGCTACCTGGTCACAGCCCAAACAAAACGCACAAAAAGGGACACAAAGTACACAAAAAGTACACAGAAAGTACACAAAAACATACAGGAGTACACGGAACACAGAGGATGGGAGGTTTCCGTGCTTCTCGGGGACATTCCATTGACGTCCGTTCATTTCCTTGAGACTGATCCTAACTTTAAAGTGTCTGTTCCTGATTTTTACATCTTAAAAACATGAAAAACAACTAGTTCATTAGAATCAGTTTGCAGTGGTCCAAGGTTATTCCTCAATTACTTTATGGATTCAGAACATCTTAATTAGTCACTGTAATGAGTTTATAAGAATTTTCCAGTGTTCAGAGTCCAGAGCGGAGTATATGGTAAACCTTATCATCACTAGCATGCTAACGTGCACTTCATGATCATCAGACAATAAAACTCTTCATAATTAGAATCAGACAGTACACAGAGGACTTATTCTAAAGAGCTGATTATACACATCTGTACATCTGTACTGGGGCAGGACATATTTTCCTTTACTTCTCCAAAAATACACCTAGTGTCTCCGCTCAATTTCATTTCTCTCCAGTGACTATGTCAGGAATCAAAATACACTAGACGGATCGAAAAAACCCCAGAAGTGTGAGTTCGGGCACCAGCCAATCAGCGAAGAGTCATATATTCTGTGTTGTCAACAATTCCCAAGATCGAGGATTTAAAGCCGGAACAAACAGAATGTTTGGTGAATTTTATCATGGGGAAAGACGTTATTGTCCTTCTTCCTATGGGATTTGGGAAAAGCTTAATATACCAGTTAGTCCCGTTAGCGACGCATTACATACGTCACAACCAAATAGCAGTGATTGGTTAAAATAAAAAAGTACCTGCTTACAGACAAAAAGTACCCGCCTGCCGAGAACAAACTAATGCTGTGAGGTGGATCAGGCTACAAAACTCTAACCTTAACTTATTTGAACCCAGATCTTGAAACCATGTTGTAGATTTAATAATAAAGGGTTTATGTCATGGGAACCACAAGACCAAGTTAGAAGTCAGATCTGTGAAGAGGCGAGCCCACTCACAGTAAGAATATTTTTCAAGAACTGAAGGAGCTATGTTTTGTTTCATTCAAACGTGTTTGAGTAATCCTGCATTATTACTCTGTCTACATCCCCAAAGCTCAAAATACTCTGTTCCACATTGTGATTATTCACGCTGGCGCCACCTAGTGCCTGCACTCAATGTCATTTCTCTGCAGCGACTAGGTCAGGAATCAGAATACACTAAACAGTTTGCAAGAACCCTGGAAGTTGTAGACTGCGCATTGGCCAATCAGCGAAGAGCTGAACCAGCCTGAGTTGTGATAACAGACTGTATACACTATACTCCTTTGGACTCCCTTTGTCAAAAACAAACTTTGCATTTTTTATTGCACCTTTAATTCACAAGTTCACCTCACAGAAACGACAATGATCGTTGACAGACATGTTCACTCTCTGCTTTGTTTGCTGTTGTGCCAGAAATGACTTGGACACCAATGAGCTCTCCGGCGCATTACCATATATCACGACCAAACAGCAGCGATTGGTTACAATTTAAAAAAGTACCTGTCTACCATTGAGAGAGCGAATCCTAATGCGGTGAGACCGGCTGATGAATCAGGCTACAATGTGATGTTATGTTGTAGTAGTTTGTAAGTGAACAGCTCCTTTTTAACTTTAATTCAGAAGAGAAAGGAGAGAAGGAAATTCTATGATGAAAATGATCCAAATGATTCTAGTGAAGGTGTATGGAGTTTAAAAACACAGTGGAGGCTGTCCTGTATCACCACATGACATCACAAGGTGGAACCGAGTGTTTTCAGTTTGAGAGAAGAACTGAGTGTAAATATGCAGGTTTGTGTGATAAACGTGTGAATGAAACAAAACACAACTCCAGGTGTGTTTATGATGAGGAAATATTGGAACATTTATCAGAAAATAGTGTAATATGTGCCCTTTAATGCCATATGGTGGAACATCCCACACATAGCATCTTCATGGAGACAATGTGGCAGATTTTCTAGAAAAAAAAATACATAGTTTGTTTGGATAGAGGAAAATGCAGACCCCGGACACAGAGAGAACATGCAAACTAAGCATGCTGGGAATCGAACCTGCAACCTTCTAGTTGTTTGACGCTTTGTTTCTTATTCTTAACTGAAAAAAACAAACAAAAACATCTTCCTTCTCCCACAGACTTCAATGATTAAAGCTTCAGTGCGGTTTATTCCCGTCTCCCACACTCACTCACCTGCTTCTGTGAGTGACGCTGCTCTCCTCCAATCAGCTCCCTCCGTGCCGCCTCGGCCCCGCCCCCTCATCATCTCCCGTCTCCGAGCTGTCAAAATGGCCGCCTTCCTCCGTCGCCGCGGTGATGGATGGGGTCAGCTGACAGTGGGCTGCGGGGGTCAGAGGTCGCGGCTCGATGATGAATGAAGTGTTGCAGAGGATTATGGGAGATTTTTGACGAGCGTCGGAGGAACGCGCCGTCTGAAAATCAAACCGTTATTAAACACTTTGAATCATTTTCTGTTTTTTTCTCTCAGAGTTTAAAGCGACGACAGAACGACGACGTTTAATCACAGAAACACGTCAAGAAACATCTGACATTTACAGAAGAAAATGAACCAGGACCAAACCAGGACTAAACCAGGACTAAACCAGGACTAAACCAGGACTAAACCAGGACTAAACTAAACTAGGACTAAACCAGGACTAAACCAGGACTAAACCAGGACTAAACCAGGACTAAAACTAGGACTAAAACTAGTACTAAAACCAGGACTAAACCAGGACTAAACCAGGACTAAACCAGGACTAAACAGGACTAAACCAGGACTAAACCAGGACTAAACCAGGACTAAAACTAAAACCAGGACTAAACCAGGACTAAACCAGGACTAAACTAGGACTAAACCAGGACTGAACCACGACTAAACCAGGACTAAACCAGGACTAAACCAGGACTAAACTAAACCAGGACTAAACTAAACCAGGACTAAAGTAGAACTGAACCAGGACTAAACCAGGACTAAACCAGGATCAAACCAGGACTAAACCAGGACTAAATCAGGACTAAATAAACCAGGACTAAACCAGGACTAAACCAGGACTGAACCAGGACTAAACCAGGACTAAAACCAGGACTAAACAGGACTAAACCAGGACTAAACCAGGACTAAACCAGGACTGAACCAGGACTAAACCAGACTAAACAGGACTAAACCAGGACTAAACTAAGACCAAGACAGAACCAGGACTGAACTAGACAAGATGGTGGTCAACTCTCGTTTCTCTCTCCTTCCCTTTTCTTCATCCTCTCCTCTTCTTCTCCTCATCTTTGGTTCTGACGTCTATAAACTCCTGATCTCTCTCTCTCTCTTTCTCCTCCCCTCCATCTCTTTCCTTTTCTCTCCTCCTCCTCCTCCTCCTCCTCTTCCTCTGTGCTTCTGACGTGTGTCTGGACTCGGGCTTTTTCAAATGTCTCCTGACGTCTGTGATCACATTTCGACTCAAACGGCGCAGACTCATCAGGACCAAACACTCAGGGGTCAAAGGTCACAAACAGGAGATTATCNCCAGGACTAAACCAGGACTAAAACCAGGACTAACCAGGACTAAACCAGGACTGAACCAGGACTAAACCAGGACTAAACCAGGACTAAACCAGGACCCAAACCAGGACTAAACCAGGACCAGGACTAAACCAGGACTAAACCAGGACTAACCAGGACTAAACCAGGACCCAGGACTAAGGACCAGGACTAGAACCAGGACTAAACCAGGACTAAACCAGGACTAACCAGGACTAGAAACTAGGACTAAACCAGGACTAGACCAACTAACCAGGACTTAGGACTAAGACCAGGACTGGAACGAGGACTAAAACGAACCAGGAACTAGACCAGGACTAAAGACTATCCCTCTCTCTCTCTCTCTCTCTCTCTTGTTTGTTGGTGTTTGTTTGAACTTCATTAAAAACACTTTTGTTGATTTCTGCGACTTGGTCCGTGGTCCCGCCCCTGAGACCGCTCTCGTCCAATCACGTCGCCGCCGCGTTCGTCGATACTTCCTGCCTCTCGTGGTTTCACGTTGAAGTAAAAGTCTCATTAGCTGCGTGGCAGGTTTGGCGTTGGGCCTGGAGGAGAGGACGACGTGTAGCCGATACGCTGCCCGGGATCAGGCTCTCCTCTGGGGCCAGACGCTCCTCCTCCCCCCCTCCCCTCCTCCAGACCCGAGCTCCAGAGCCGGGGAGGAGAGGAGGACGTGAAGCCGATACCTAACCCAGAATGAGACTCTCCTTTGGGGTGACGATCGCCTGTTCTCCCTCCTCCAGACCAGGGCCTCGGTGCTGTTACCCGGGATCAGGCTCTCCTCTGGGGCCACACGCGCCTCCTCTCCCCCCTCCTCCTCCAGACCACAGACTCAGAGCTAGTTAAAACTCCACATCGGTGTAAGTACGAACAGATAACCACCGTGAGAGAGGAAGAGGAGAGGCTAATGAAGCAAAGTACTGCGCCTGAACTAATGGAGGAAAAATGAATTGGACAAGAGCAGAGGAGCGATGGATCTGGGACGACTTGTACAACTTAGACTAGACTGAATTAAAGGTCCCAGATTATTCAAAACTGACTGACGTGATCTTGAAGTGAGAATTAGAGTTAGAATGTTGTTCCCTCCTCTAAACAGACCTGGAGTTGTTTTTTGTTTCATTATATTAACATTATTCTGCTTCTGGGTTCAGTCCATGAAATCAGCCGCCCTCCCCTCCTTAGATTTGGCTGAAAAAAATAAAAAAAAAATTTCTTAAATCGCCAGATGAAAGAATCTCAAATTTTAGCTCAATCCCTCGAGTCGTTCCTGAGTTATCGCGCGTTGAAATTTTGGGGTCATGTTCACTTTTTCTGACACCATGTTTCATTTATAAGCGTGTTTGTGAGACCAGAACTTCATCAAAAAAATAGAACTAGGAAACTGAAAATTTGTATTATTGTAGATTCTTGGTCATAGATGCTAAATCTGTTGTCAAATATTGGGTGTCTTTATTAAGGAGGCGCTGTGGGCCCCCAAAATCTAATACCATATTTTCCGGGCTATTAGACGCACTCTTAAGCCTCTAACCTCATCAAAAAACAACCGCGCCCCACAATCCAGAGCGACCTGTACATGAATCCACTCAGGTGTCCCAGTACGACTTCAGTAAACTACAAAGCCACAACACACACGGAGCAGACAGCGAAAAACACCCACAGACACACTCCTCACTCCACGCCGACGAGGAACAGAACGGAGGAACGAACCGAAAAAGCGAGTGCAATGTGCCACTTCTAGACACGACTGAACAACTGAGTCACTGCGAACACGCCGACAATCCGGTGGTCCCAGACACACCCTCCCTACACGCCACAACTGAACAAAGCCCAGAGTCACCGTGAACGAACAAAACAAACAAAACCACTCACCCATCACACTGTTGGGTTTCATTTAAAGTCCGGTGCGGTTTATTTGTGAAAAAAGTAAAAAAAATAGACCATTTAATGACAGTGTGTCTTATAATCCAGAGCGACTAATAGCCCGGAAAATACGGTACACTAATACAAATGTTCAGCTTCCTAACTCTATTTTTGATGAAGTTCTGGTCTCTCAAACATGATTATAAATTAAGGCTTCAGAAAAAGTGAACATGGCCCCAAAATTTCAACGGGCCATAACTCAGGAACGACTCGAGGGATTGAGCTAAACTTTGACATTCTTTCATTTGGTGATTTTAGAAATTTTTAGACATTTTTTCAGCCAAATCTGAGATGGCTCACAGGGGAGATTCATTCAAAACAGCTGATTTCATCTGGACTGACCCATCTCCAAACTCAAAATGCGACATTATAGTGAGGTTTCAAACTAAAGGGACAGTTCAGAATTTTGGACATAGGACCTCATTTCCTCGTGATCCAGAGTGTTGGAGAGACGTGTGGAGACACTTTTTGAAATCTTCTTTCATCCAGTCCTTGTATTTGCAGAGGGACTAAAGCAGGATTAGACCGGACTAAACCAGAACTAGATTGGGACTAAAACAGGACTATAGACCAGGACTAAGACAGAATTTAAAAAACAGCCTGGAATCACCGGAATAAATCTTAATATTCATCAGATCAACAACAAAAGACACAATATAGAAGAGACCGGGACTATGACAGAACTAAACCTGAACCAGACAAGAACTAAACCAGGATTTATGGATATGCAGAACATACGTGGAGTTGTGTTTGTTCACTCTACTCTACTCAACACTAGGTTTTCTACTCAGCTAAAGGTTTTACAACTTTAGTTAAAGGGACAGTCCAGAATTTTGGATATAGGAGCTCATTTCCTCATGATCCAGAGTGTTGGAGACGTGTGGAGACACTTTTTGAAATCTTCCATCCAGTCCTTGTATTTGCAGAGGTCACTGGTGCTAGACTAGTGCATGTCAATGGTCATAGTTTATCCTGCCACTAAAAACAGTCTTACCCACTCCACAAAACACCCCAAACAAATCTATTATTACACCAGACTGTCCATGTGAACGTCTGTGTCCATAGAATAATGTTTGAAATAAAACTAACGTTGCATCACATGAATCGTCGCATGTTGAGGGACTATTTTCTCATATAGGCAGGTAATGATGTTTGGCAATCACAAGATTAATACAGAGTTACCAGTTCTGATTGAAGGTGTCCAAATAGAAAATGTAAATGAAAATAAATTCCTGGGAGTTATAATAGACAGTGAATTATCATGGAAAGCCCACATTAGACATATAAAAACTAACATTTCCAAAACTCTTGCTATAATAAACAAAGTGAAATATTACCTTGATCAAAATGCCCTTCGTACATTCTACTGTTCATTGGTTGTCTTTTATTTCACAGACTGTGTTGAAGTGTGGGGGGACACTTACCAATGTTCACTTCATCCATTGATTGTATTACAGAAACGAGCTCTGTGAATCATCCACAAAGTTGGTTTCTTAGAACACACCCATCATCTTTTTATCCAATCCAAGCTCCTCAGGATTCCTCAACTTGTACAATATTATACACTGGTAATTTTATTCAGAGCTTGCAATAATTTACTACCACGTAATATTCAAAGTTTGTTCAAAATGAGAGAGAGAACTTATAATTTTAGAGGATAATGTACGGACTACCTGTAAAAGTTTCTGTGTGTCTGTATGTGGCGTAAAACTCTGGATACACGTCTCCAGCAATGCCAAAATGTCCATAAATTCAAGTTGTTATATAAACATATGGTCTGGTCAGAGTAAATGGAGAGTGGGTCATAATATTAGAACAATACTTTCTCTGTGCGCAGGTTTATGTTTGTTGTTTTCTTACCATTGTCTGTATCCTTAACTTTACCTTTGTTGGTACATTTATGTTACACTACCGAGCTATAACAGTGACTCTTTGTCTGCACTTGTAAATAGTTCATACAATTTAATTCAAAATGTC